ATGTAATTTGTTAACCTTGAAAAGCTTTTGGTATGTGAATTCAATGTCCATCTTTTTATTTAAAACAGAAATAATGTCATGCACCTAATGTATTGTATTCGTTCGTTCGTTGAACTATTCAGATTCGGACATGTTCGCGTATCCTGAAATTGATTATTGTCCTACCTTTCGATTTTTACATTATTTTACAATTTAGATCGTCTACCTGACGGCCTATGATATTTTTTATGATTCAATAATAATTAAAAAGACACGCGTAATTCTACAACATTTCTACAATCACTACATAGTATAAAACAAAGTCGCTTTCCCGCTGTCTGTCCCTATGTATGCTTAAATCTTTAAAACTACGCAACGCATTTTGATGCGGTTTTTTTTTAAAGATAGAGTGATTCAAGACGAAGGTTTATATGTATAATACATGCATAATATAGTAGGGAAACACTGATAATTTTAGAGGTTTCTAATGTGATGTCGTAAATAAACACATTTTTTGCGCTTACCTTGCAAACGCTGGCTGAACCCTACGAGATAGATCAAAATAATGTACTACAATATTGTACATCTTAAAAGGGTCTACAAAAAAGTCCGGGATGGTATATGTCTATCTCTTAGGGATAACCCACAATAACCATTTTTATCCTTTACTTTTTATGAGAAATAATGACTTATTTACGAAGCGATTGTAGGCAATACAGCATTAATTCTTATCCAATTAAGTACCTTAAATACATTGTGCATTTAATATAGATCAATATGGCCCTTTACAGCATGTAATTTAAATGAATATTTTCGAAGATATTACAGATTTAAAATGCAGGGACATAGCGGTTGCGGCGGTACCGGCCGGGAGGCCGGTTTGTATTGTCTAATGACAAAAAAACTGTGAATGTTGTATATAAAGACATTCTGTAGTATATTTAGTATGTTCAGGGGGTATCTTTTGAAGATTTCCCCTTTTCGATAATAATCTAAACAAAACAAAAATATATTTAGTATCAGCATTGCACCCGTGCGAAGCTGGGGCGGGTCACTAGTAAGTAATAGAAATTGAAATATAGGGACGGAAGATAAACTAGCAGGGTGGAAGCTGTCAATGAGAAAATATTTACGTATAAATAACGAAGATCAGTAATCAGTTTTCTTTGAAATTTTATTCAGCGTAGTGAAAATGAATAAATACAGCGTACAATGTTGTTAACGCTCATTTTATAAAAGAATTTAATTAGTACCTATGGAGAGATAGGTATAACGCCTGTTAAATAAATAAATTATTTATTTACAAGCTACGAAATTGCGAAGTCATAAAATCCATCAAATGGTTTATATCAATTCCAATGCAAATTCTGAGACGTTTACAATTCGTGTTTGATACTTGTAGGTGTTATGAAAGTGGCCTTGTCAAGGTTGAGCACCTTATAAATAAAAAGAACAGTTATAGCTCTAAATGGATTCGTTGAGGTTCACCAAACGCCGGCGACTTGCTAAGTTTTGGTAATTAATTAAGTACATACTTTTCTTACTGTGACGGCTTTGTTACCATTTCATTTCATACACCTGCTGCACCTTTCAATAAATAATCTGTACATTTTGTAAGTTTGTATTTAAATATTAATTGATTATATTGGTTTTTAAGGATTATAACTTTTTATTGTTATTATTTTTTTATCTGATTTTTGAAAAAGAAAAAGTGTGTATTTACAATAATTTAATACAGTGTAAACTCTTTATAACGTCACTCGATTTAACGACAAACTCCTTAAAACGTCGAAATTGCTTGACTTTGGTTGGTTTACATTGTTTTCTATACAATATTACACTCTATATAGCGTCACGCTCACTCTATTTAACGACAACAATGCGGCATTATAAATCATTAAGCAGTACTTTCTAAGTTGCCGAAATAGATAAGAACTGCAGCTGTGTACGTTGTTGAAGAAGACGATCCTGTCCCTCCACCAAGCATCAAACAAGCACTTGATGCAGCGAAACTATTAAAAAAATACTTTTTATATAATCAAGTTGATCCAGCAGTATCTCAAGATATGACAATGACAAAATACAATTAAAATATTGGAGTAGCAAAAAACATCAGACGAAGATAATAGGCTATACGCAATGTATGAATAATAATGTTCGTGTGCAAAATGTGTACTATATTGGTTAATGCATATTATTATAGAATAGTATAATAATATCTTTTATTTCTCTCCATTTAACGACCACTCTTTATAACGCCGAAAAATGTTCGGTCCCTTAGGTGTCGTTATATAGAGTTTACACTGTATTTTGAACTTGCTTGTGGGTATATTGCGCCATTTCATTAATAAAAATTGGTTTGTAGTCTTTTTCCGTTGGTTTCTGGTTTTCTTTATTAAGTAGTTTCGCACTGACTTCAAGAAAAAGTGTTAGTTAATTAAGTTAAAGTGAAAATTTATGTGGAATCATCTCGGGCATATCTCATTCAAACAAAAAAGAATCATATGTAAACCACTTCAAGAAAGTTCTTCTTTTTTGTTTCCTCATTAACTTGAGGTAATCTGTAGTGATCAACAAAGCAAGACCAATATTGTCTGGTCTCAAAGAATCTCTATCAAATTTTGTGTGAAAAAACAAAATTAAGTGCACGGACGCATTCCGAATATTAACTGTGGCATATGGTGAAGTTACCTTGGACCTAAGCAACGTTTATCGGTGGTACAAAATGTTCTCAGAAGGCGGAGAAGATGTGAACGACGAAGAGCGTTCCGGACACCTGCGCAAAAACATTGATGAAGTTGCTTAGGACCTAAACATATCGATTGGTTCCTGCCATTCGATTTTTACCAATGATTTGGGAATTAGACGGGACGCCGCGAAATTCGTACCAAAATTGCTCAATTTCGAACAAAAACAGCATCGTATTAACATTACTAAGTAGCTGTTGGACTATGTCCGCGACGACCCAAATTTGCTCCAGAGGGTCATAACTGGTGACGAATCATGGGTTTATGGTTATGACGTGAAAACCAAAGCACAATCGTCCCAATGGAAGCTGCCACACGAGTCAACACCGAAAATAGTGCGCCAAATTAGGTCGAATGTGACGGTTTTCCTTACAGTGTTTTCTTCGATTGCAGGGACGTGGTGCATCATGAGTTTTTACCACAGGGTAGAATGGTCAATAAGGAATATTACCTGAAAGTTATGCCCAATTTGCCCGAAGCAATCCGCCGGAAACACCCGGATTTGTGGAAGAACAAAAATTGGCTTTTGGACCATGGTAACGCCCCTGCTCACACATCTGTGTTTTTTTGCTCGAATTTTTGGTCAAAAACAACACACTAATAATGCCGCAGCCACCGTATTCCCCAGATCTGGCCCCCTAAGACTTTTCTTGTTCTCGAAACTGAAGAAGATTGAGGAGATAAAGACGGCATCGAAGGAGGAGCCGAACAAGATCACAAAAAATGATTTTTTGAAGTGCTTCGAGGATTGGAAAAGACGTTGACGCAAGTTTATAATATTTGGTGGGGATTATGATAACTAAATAATTTTTGAAAAAACACAAAATTTACGATACTTTTTAACAGACAGACCTCGTATGTATTAAAGTTTCTTCAAATAGTTTAACTCATAAATTCTCCGGAAGTAATAATTTTTCGTTTAGTCATGGGTATTCGGTATTGGTTTAGCGTTGGTCTTGTTCGTTCGGTCTTAGTCTTGGTCTTGCTAGTATAAAGACGGTCTTAGTCTTGCATTTTCGCAACTCTTCTCCACTATTTATGAAATATCCCATCAATTTTCAGTTGTTTGTACATTATGTATTGTGTAAATACGAACGATGAAATATGCTGTGGTTATTTGAGAATATTTTAGCATTACAATACAAAAAAGGAATTGTATTGTAATAATTATAGATAACATGCCTGACAATAATATTTGTTAGTCGGAATTATTAAACAAATTTATTCATACACATGTAGCACACACGTAAATAGTATGCATCGGTTGCTGGTAATAACTGGTGTAGATATTAAATTATGTCTAAATGATATTGAATTCGCTATGAAATTAAATTGCGAAGTGATTTAGATAGCGTTGTAACTTTAATGTAACGGTAATAAAATGGTGATAAGTGTAACAATCAAGAGTACTCATCCGATCTGACATTAATTAATTTTGTAATTGAACGTTTACTTTAATGTGTACGACACGTTTAAACTGAAATTCCGGAACAACTGGGATATTACATTTTAAATAATAGTGATTTCATATATATATTTTATTAAAAAAATAATAATAAATCTTTATGTTTTGTGGTTTCATCCACCTTTTTAGAACCACGGTATTAATTAATAAAAGTCGTTTTTCAAATTAGTAAATGCATGGTTACTTTTACTACTGTTAGCGCTCAATCAGTTGATTGTAGGATGTGGTTACTGGCGACGGTCCATGCGATAATCCAGTTTTAAAGGAAGTTAAGTCGTTTTAGGCAGAAGCTCACTGTTAACGCTCGGAATTCTAGTTAAACTTCAGTTAGTACAGTGGGCTATGGTAAAAAAATGTATGTACATACATATGTATAATTTTATTTAGAAAATTTATTTATCAATTCAATATAGTGCGTTCAGAATGTCTTCCTCAAAAAAACTTAGTTTTTATGTAAGTCATACATAGAAATTTGTCGTTTGCTGAATGCACCCCTCCTCCTGCGGGTGCTCCTAGAACCCCCTTCATCAGTTGTTCTTTGGTTATAAGGCACTCCTATGCTATTGCGGCTCGCGATACCTCATCCGTAAACATTTCAGCCGTCATCCCTTCGTCGTTGTTAGGTGGTGCTCCACTCGACTACTAACACCTAGGGATTCCCCCTTTTCCCAACTGCTGCTCTTATTTGATTTTGAATTTCCCGATTTCTATGCTGCCATCGCCGGTGTGTCACTACTATTATTATTTATACTTCATAATATTTTGCAGGTCAGATAAGTCCTTAAATTTTTACGACAATTCCGTTTTAGAAGCTCTTCTACAAAGTCGACCCTTGCCACACATACCGAGTTTGCCCGATTCAGAGGCGCCAAGTACTGGAACCTTAGGTTCAGGGGGCACCTTAGGAAGTTTGTCCGGTTCATCGGGTTCCGCACCACCCTCCACGCCTATGTCCTTAGAAGCAGCCAATCGTTGGACCTCCAAAGAAAATCTTCTTGCCCAAGAGGAAGATGATCCTCAACTTTTCGTAGCTCTTTATGATTTCCAAGCAGGCGGGGAAAATCAGCTAAGTTTAAAGAAAGGTTTGTACATTTCGTAGATATAGTATCTACTTACGAAGGAAGTAAAAAATATATTTTGGTCTGCTTAGGCGAACAAGTTCGAATTCTTAGTTATAATAAAAGTGGAGAATGGTGCGAGGCGCATTCAGTTTCAAATCAGGTCGGTTGGGTACCATCGAATTACGTGACCCCGGTTAACTCGTTGGAGAAACATTCATGGTATCACGGTCCAATTTCCCGAAATGCAGCAGAATATTTATTGAGCTGCGGCATAAACGGTAGTTTTTTGGTAAGAGAATCGGAAAGTAGTCCAGGCCAAAGAAGTATATCATTAAGATACGAAGGCAGAGTATACCATTACCGAATAAATGAAGATTCGGACGGTAAAGTCTTTGTAACTGCCGAAAGTAAATTCAACACTCTTGCCGAACTAGTCCATCATCATTCCATGCTCTCGGATGGTTTAATAACTCAGTTACTTTATCCTGCCCCGAAACACAACAAACCCACCGTGTTCCCATTAAGTCCAGAACCAGATGAATGGGAAATCGACCGCACGGACATCATAATGCGTCACAAACTTGGCGGAGGACAGTACGGGGATGTTTACGAAGCCGTGTGGAAGCGATACAATATGACAGTGGCTGTAAAAACACTCAAGGAGGACACAATGGCTTTAAAAGACTTCCTCGAAGAAGCGGCAATTATGAAGGAGATGAAACACCCCAATCTCGTACAACTCATGGGGGTGTGTACAAGAGAACCGCCCTTTTACATCATCACTGAGTTTATGAGCAAGGGGAACCTGTTAGACTATCTCAGAAACGGAAACAAAGAACAAATTAATGCGGTGGTGTTAATGTATATTGCTACCCAGATAGCGAGTGGTATGAGCTACTTGGAAAGTCGAAGCTTCATCCATAGGGACTTGGCCGCAAGGAATTGTCTCGTTGGAGAGAATCATCTAGTCAAAGTAGCTGATTTTGGTCTTGCAAGACTCATGCGGGACGACACGTACACAGCCCACGCAGGAGCCAAGTTTCCGATCAAATGGACCGCTCCTGAGGGACTAGCATACAATAAATTTTCAACCAAATCAGATGTATGGGCTTTCGGAATTCTTCTCTGGGAAATAGCTACGTATGGGATGTCTCCCTATCCAGGCGTCGATCTCACTGATGTATATCACATGCTAGAAAAAGGTTACAGGATGGAATGTCCACCTGGATGCCCTCCAAAAATATACGAACTTATGAGACAGTGTTGGCAATGGCATGCCCATGAAAGACCCACTTTCAAAGAAATCCATCACGCCTTAGAACATATGTTTCAAGAGAGTAGCATAACAGAAGGTAAATTTATATTTGTTGTTCTTTTAGAAATTAATTGTAACTATGTAAGAATCTTAATTTTTTAGAGGTCGAAAAACAGCTTCAAGACGATGGAATGATACCGGTCACCACCTCTCACATGTCCTACAAAAAATCTCATGCTGGCAGCACCGGCAACTTACACGGGCTTGTTATAACTGATCAAACAGCAGGTAATTAATTTTGTAGTTTAACAAAAATATATTTATTCCAAAAAGACTTACATTTTTTTTCCATTTTTATCCTGTTCTAATTCCTCCTTTGCCTCTAAAATTTTCCCCTATTTCTTCCTTTTTCATTATGTTATCTCTCCATTTTAAAAAGTTATGTAAATGTATAAGTACAGAGCATTTTATTCATTTCAGATCATGGAAATGTTCCGGTGAAGTTGTCAACATTTACAGGAGGACAATCAACTAATTCAAAGAGTAGCATGGTTCAATTAAGACGTACAACAAACAGGAGAGGCAAACAGGCTCCTGTGCCTCCAAAACGTACTAGGTAAATAAGTTACTTTCTTTTATTATTAATTAGAATCTTTCATAACAATCCATTAATTTTTTAGTCTCCTATCTTCATGTAGTTCTTTTCGTGACAGCACATGTGATGACCAAGGTCAGTCGGAGTCTCATCTGGAAGATGGAACTGATTTAAATGGTATTAATATGACATTCAAAGGTATTTTTGCGGACTTTTGATTCAGTTATGTGTCTTTTCTGATTGACTAACAATGCACGATATTTTTTGTAGCAAGTTTGATAACAAACTAATTAAAAAGAATATGGGCCGCATACAGAGTCAAAATAATCTTCCATTAATGAGATTATGATGATGCACATGCAGGACAGACCAAGGCTTCGTAATTGTTTTTTGTGTTGCTAAAATAATTTTGTAACGAAGAAACCTTGGTCAGCCTTGTACATACATACTTATATTAATCAGTGCTTATGAATGCTTGTAATGTGGGTAAAAAACTTTATTTTAATTTTTTATACTGAATTAATGTATAAACTTTGTTTCCTTATTTGTAACATTGCTCGACACATGTTTTAGTTATATTTTTATAATTAGGAATAACGAAAGAGCTTCAAAATCTGGCCAAGGGTGATAGTGAAAGCGATATTCAAGATCAGACGCCGGATACAGACGATTCTGGGGCTCATTCCTATCCTGAAGTGTCAAGTTCCAGTACTTTCGGAGTAACATCGTTCAAAAGAGCTCCAGTGATGGGTAATAGGGGATTAGAACAACGTGGAAGAAAATCGAAGACCTATCCTCCTAAGGAACAACCTGTAAGTGTTTGTATATATATATATATATATAGATACCCAACCCAGGAAAGAATGAACTTGCGTCATTGTAGGCGGAGCCAACAAAAGTGTTGATTCATACGTTCTTAGGTACAGCAATGCCACCATTCTAGCAGTGATAGGTAGCGCATAGCGCTATCCTTTTTCTATACTACGTTTATCGAATTATACTCTACAGTCTTATGTCATTTATTAGTTCACTAATCTCTTCAACGTCTGTCTTTATTTTTGTTAATCGATTTAAGAAAGGATGGTGTACATGAAGTTCGCTGATAGATTCATACCCGTTCATTCTTTCGTGGAGTAGATAATATATATATTTTCGTGAGGGACGGAGAATGATGGGAGTATCACCCTTATTTAATTTAATAAATAAGACAATTCAAATAACAATAAGATATTTTAATAAATAAAACGACACTTCTGATTAATAAGGAGCATAATATGGCTAATTTAAAAGAACAAATAAAATAAAAAGAAAGTACTCTTTATTTAGGTTCAGGTGGCGGCATTGGAAGTCCAGAACGTGAAAAAAGCCATTAGTCGTTACGGCACATTACCCAAAGGCGCACGCATAGGCGCATATTTAGAATCTCTACGTCAAAGTGGTTTGTCCAACAGTCAAGAGCATGCGCAAGCGGTAAACCCTGTAATAGCAGAGCAAGTTGAGCCCAGCGCCCGTTCGTTATCTCCTCGAACGAACATCAAAACGCAGCCCCAAATGATTCGCAGCAATTCGTCAAGTGGGGTCACCACGTTCCATGCTCCCTTACCGCCTAGCTCTCCCACTGCCACAAAACTTAGCCGAACAAGAAATGTCACGAGAACTAACAACACCGACATAGGGTTAAGAACGTTCAAGACGTCTCACGGAAATTTCCGGCAGGGAAGTCCGTCAAGGGCGGTTCAACCCACTTTGGCCGATCTGGAATTCCCTCCACCACCCACTGATTTGCCACCGCCACCCGAAGAATTCGATGGGACATTTGATGAGATCCACTCGACGTCGTTGACCTTGTCGGCGGAAATGAAGAAGAAACGCGTTCCAATTTCGCCTTTAACGTCGAGAAAGTTCAACGAAGAAACGGAAGATAACGGCGACTTGCATCCATCGGTAGAGGAGGCGGGATCGCGGTTCGGCGTCAATTTAAAGAAACGCGAGCCGTCGAGTGATAGTTGCGCGAGTACAAAAGAAACAAAAGAGGACGCGGGAAGTCCCGTACGTACTAGTTTAAGTCTTACAAGTCCAAGCGTCGAAGGTCGAAGTCCCGCGAGTGTCGATTCGGACGTAGTACCGGCGGTCGGATCTCCTCTCGAACCCCTACCTCCTCCCCCTATATTTCCTCAAGACGGTAAGTTGTTTTTTAATCGCATTCACTACACATACATTCAAATAAACACGTGTACATTATCATATAAGAGCATAAGAATTAAATTTATCCTAGCCAACAAAATCAATTAAATCGAATTCAAATAAATTATTTCATACTTTTTTGCTGCAGCACTTTCTTTTATTAATTTTGAGTTACTTAAACTTCCATTATTAGTGTGTTTTAACCAGTTCTATTTCAAATTGAGGAGGGGGGTGTCATTGACGGGTTACTAAATCATACGCGTTTAATATTTGCCGTTGATTGAGAATTGGGTTGATGAGCTTTATCATTCACTATCGTGCGTTATACGTATCCAAAAGTAGGGTGCGATGAATAAGAACAACCACAGACCAACGCAGATTCTGGTACAACATGAGGATCGGTTGGACGCGTATGACCAGTCGCACCATCGGGAATGATAAAGTTTGCTAACCCAACCGCAGGTGTTGAACTAGCGTAACTTAGTATCCGGTCAATGAAATGCTCCTCCTCATTTTGTAACGAAACCGGTCAAAACACACTACTTCTGGCGTTTTCTGTTATAAAGAAAACACTTTCTTCTTGTGTAACTCAATTAAAATTCTTTTTTTTTATGAATACATGAATACGCTCCTTCAATATCTACAAACAAAACGTTTTAATCAATTAAAAACTAATACAAAATTGTTATCTTTTTGCTGCAGCGTTAAGAATTTGAAACAGAATGGCCGTTCTTAATGTGAGTGGATTTGTTTTAAATCTGTAACGTTATTGTTTTTTCAATTTTACAATTATAAATTTATTTGAACGCTTTAATTAATAAGTAAATTGACCAGCCAAGATTCAGAAGTGACTGGGATAAAAAGAATGTGAAGAAAGAGGCAGAACATCTTCGTTACTTTTGTATATTGTTTTTTTTTTTTCGATTTTTGTTTTCAATTTCACTTCCAGAATTCGAAGAGCACGAGGAAATTTGTAGTAAAAACGTAATCGAAAACGTAGATGACGCGAACGTATTGTCATCAAATGCCAAAGAAAAATCGTCGTCGTTGGTGTTCAAAAATAAAAATGTGATGAAAGAGATGGAATTGAAACTTGTCGCCGAGATCAAAGAACGTGCAGACAAGAAGAGCAGAAACTCATCCGAATCTCCAGTAGAACCGTCGTCTACGGCTGTGAGTAGTATTAGTTTAGATCCCGCCTTACAACTTGTGTCCGAACTGTCCGAAACCATGAATTTAGATCTTAACAAAAAAGAGACTTCCCCAAAACAAAACGATAAACCCAACTCCTTCATACCGCAACTTAAGAAAGTCGACCCCTCGTTTATTACTAAAAATAGGGACAAGGAAGAGAATGGCACAACCGGAATTATAGATTTCAAATCACGCTTAAGAAAAATCGAGAAAGCAGACAGAAACGAAGACGAAACAGAGCAGATTAAAAATAATGGTGAAGAAGAACATGAAAAGGAAAATAACAAAAGAGAAAGCACTGCAAGTTCTGATAATGGTACGAATAGACTGGATGAAGGAGACGATAAAAGAAAAAGTACCGGAAGTATAAGTAGTTTAAAAAAATTATGGGAAACTAAAGAAGCAACAGAATCTACAATTCAATTAAGTCCGAAAATGCCGCTTAAAAACGACAAAAACACGGAAGCGTCGACTGAAACCTCCCCCGTAGAAACTTCTGAAGACTCTTTCAAAATTTTAACCACATCCAAAACTGACAAACGTTCTTGGCCACCACCGACAACCAATGACGAGAAACCAGTAATTCCCACAAAACCGCCCTTAAAATCAATAAAACCGATTATGTCCTCTCGTCCGCTTGTGCCAGCAATATACGCAACCCCTATATCATCAAATTCCAAACCTCCAGTTTCCATTAAACCAACTAACAACACTTCGCCCCTTGAAGACAATTCTAAAACAAACAACTCGGACCGAAGCGATAAGGACAATATTCTGGACATATGTCAAGCCCTGGAGACAACGGTAAAAAGCATTAGGTCGAACTCGAACGTTTCCACGTCCAATTGGTTGCAATTGTCCGACAAAATAGGACTTCTTCACGTCTCTTGTTTGGATTATTCGGATAATGTTGTTCCCGCGCATGCGAAATTCCATTTTCGAGAGTTACTGAGCAGGTTAGAGTCGCAAGCGAGACAACTCAGATCAGCGGGATCAAGAAACAGTACCGAAAACATACGGTATCTTAACGACGTTAACAACACAATCAAAGATGTTGTCAATGCGGTGTTGCGATAGAAAGAAAAATAAACAGAAAACAATTACAGGACCACTTAACTAGCGTTTAGATTGTAAGGTTGCGTATTAATCTTTCGAATTATTAATTTTCCTTTTTATTCGCTTCGTGAATCTTTGTTCTTAATTTTGACTACGATATTTATTTCAGCAAGCTTACTGACCGGCTGTATTGGCAATTAAAAAAAATTCCATGTTTTACATATTAAGAAAATTAACTGAGACATGCTGTGTATCTACCACTTGTTTGATTTTCTCTTTGCAATTAATTTCTTGGTTTTTTTTTAGATACTGAGTTAGTTTTGTGCTCAATGTGCATTTTTTCTGAAACATTCGAGATAATTTTCACATTCCAAAAATAATAAAAAATTTCAAATTCAAATTATTTACTGCCATTCCTAAGTTAGAAATGCATTGACATACATGACTTAAGAAGAAATAGGGATCAAGAATACTTAAAATTATTAAAAAATTTCAAATCCCTAAGTGTTACTTTCTAAAAAAAGAGAATGTGTAAACTAGAAGAAAAACATTAGCATGTGACTGGCAAGTCTGGCTGTTGTAAAACATCGGATTTAAGATTTATTGAAGGGCGTGAAAATAAGTAAACAAGCCTTAATACGTATTTTTGATAATAAAACAACTTTTACTTTTAAATTAACTACGATAATATGCATTCAAATGAAGAGATGAGTTTGTACGCGTGTAATAAAAGAAATGACAATATGGGCGGTCCGTGCAAGAGCGTCGTCCCGTCTTGCCACGATTGAAACCGTTTTAACTTCTAATAGCTTCTAAATATGGTTCACATCATAAATGAGTTAATGGAAACTATATCGTTGAAAGAAGCTTTTTATACTATCAAAGTTTTAATTTTTTATTAAAATCGCTATATCAATCAAAAGTAAAAAGTTCACTTTTTCATCTAGAGCTCTAAACTAATTAACTTACAATTAGAGATCTGAAACATTCAGAAAGTATATTTTGATACCACATGTTCTGCGGTGGTTTATTAACTGTGCTTTTTCTCTATGGCCTTTTGTCATAAAAATAAAACAAATTAGAGAACATGAAATAACTAACAACTGACGATGAGTAAGCTTGCCATTGATTAAACTTATTTACACTAAGCTGTGATACCCGTAGATTATTTAATTACGTTTTTGTGCTCAACAATGATGAATTCGTTTTTTGTTTTTCACTTTTGATGGTGTTGATCCTTTTTAACATTTGAAAGTGGCTACAAGCGCTTTTTCTTTTTATTTCCGGGTGTATTTTTCAAACGTTCCTAACTTAAACGGACAATGTGCAACATTTACCTTAAACTTTTAATGTCTCATATTTTGTACTATATGTATTTATGTCAGGTGTTCTATCTTGTTTGGCAAAATATAAAATTTACAAAATATTTTTTAGACAACCTCGATATTTTCTTGAAATGAAAGACACATGGTACAAAATATAGTCTTTAGTAAAATATGCTCTTTCAAAGATCAAATGGACCGCTCCTGAGGGACTAGCATACAATAAATTTTCAACCAAATCAGATGTATGGGCTTTCGGAATTCTTCTCTGGGAAATAGCTACGTATGGGATGTCTCCCTATCCAGGCGTCGATCTCACTGATGTATATCACATGCTAGAAAAAGGTTACAGGATGGAATGTCCACCTGGATGCCCTCCAAAAATATACGAACTTATGAGACAGTGTTGGCAATGGCATGCCCATGAAAGACCCACTTTCAAAGAAATCCATCACGCCTTAGAACATATGTTTCAAGAGAGTAGCATAACAGAAGGTAAATTTATATTTGTTGTTCTTTTAGAAATTAATTGTAACTATGTAAGAATCTTAATTTTTTAGAGGTCGAAAAACAGCTTCAAGACGATGGAATGATACCGGTCACCACCTCTCACATGTCCTACAAAAAATCTCATGCTGGCAGCACCGGCAACTTACACGGGCTTGTTATAACTGATCAAACAGCAGGTAATTAATTTTGTAGTTTAACAAAAATATATTTATTCCAAAAAGACTTACATTTTTTTTCCATTTTTATCCTGTTCTAATTCCTCCTTTGCCTCTAAAATTTTCCCCTATTTCTTCCTTTTTCATTATGTTATCTCTCCATTTTAAAAAGTTATGTAAATGTATAAGTACAGAGCATTTTATTCATTTCAGATCATGGAAATGTTCCGGTGAAGTTGTCAACATTTACAGGAGGACAATCAACTAATTCAAAGAGTAGCATGGTTCAATTAAGACGTACAACAAACAGGAGAGGCAAACAGGCTCCTGTGCCTCCAAAACGTACTAGGTAAATAAGTTACTTTCTTTTATTATTAATTAGAATCTTTCATAACAATCCATTAATTTTTTAGTCTCCTATCTTCATGTAGTTCTTTTCGTGACAGCACATGTGATGACCAAGGTCAGTCGGAGTCTCATCTGGAAGATGGAACTGATTTAAATGGTATTAATATGACATTCAAAGGTATTTTTGCGGACTTTTGATTCAGTTATGTGTCTTTTCTGATTGACTAACAATGCACGATATTTTTTGTAGCAAGTTTGATAACAAACTAATTAAAAAGAATATGGGCCGCATACAGAGTCAAAATAATCTTCCATTAATGAGATTATGATGATGCACATGCAGGACAGACCAAGGCTTCGTAATTGTTTTTTGTGTTGCTAAAATAATTTTGTAACGAAGAAACCTTGGTCAGCCTTGTACATACATACTTATATTAATCAGTGCTTATGAATGCTTGTAATGTGGGTAAAAAACTTTATTTTAATTTTTTATACTGAATTAATGTATAAACTTTGTTTCCTTATTTGTAACATTGCTCGACACATGTTTTAGTTATATTTTTATAATTAGGAATAACGAAAGAGCTTCAAAATCTGGCCAAGGGTGATAGTGAAAGCGATATTCAAGATCAGACGCCGGATACAGACGATTCTGGGGCTCATTCCTATCCTGAAGTGTCAAGTTCCAGTACTTTCGGAGTAACATCGTTCAAAAGAGCTCCAGTGATGGGTAATAGGGGATTAGAACAACGTGGAAGAAAATCGAAGACCTATCCTCCTAAGGAACAACCTGTAAGTGTTTGTATATATATATATATATATAGATACCCAACCCAGGAAAGAATGAACTTGCGTCATTGTAGGCGGAGCCAACAAAAGTGTTGATTCATACGTTCTTAGGTACAGCAATGCCACCATTCTAGCAGTGATAGGTAGCGCATAGCGCTATCCTTTTTCTATACTACGTTTATCGAATTATACTCTACAGTCTTATGTCATTTATTAGTTCACTAATCTCTTCAACGTCTGTCTTTATTTTTGTTAATCGATTTAAGAAAGGATGGTGTACATGAAGTTCGCTGATAGATTCATACCCGTTCATTCTTTCGTGGAGTAGATAATATATATATTTTCGTGAGGGACGGAGAATGATGGGAGTATCACCCTTATTTAATTTAATAAATAAGACAATTCAAATAACAATAAGATATTTTAATAAATAAAACGACACTTCTGATTAATAAGGAGCATAATATGGCTAATTTAAAAGAACAAATAAAATAAAAAGAAAGTACTCTTTATTTAGGTTCAGGTGGCGGCATTGGAAGTCCAGAACGTGAAAAAAGCCATTAGTCGTTACGGCACATTACCCAAAGGCGCACGCATAGGCGCATATTTAGAATCTCTACGTCAAAGTGGTTTGTCCAACAGTCAAGAGCATGCGCAAGCGGTAAACCCTGTAATAGCAGAGCAAGTTGAGCCCAGCGCCCGTTCGTTATCTCCTCGAACGAACATCAAAACGCAGCCCCAAATGATTCGCAGCAATTCGTCAAGTGGGGTCACCACGTTCCATGCTCCCTTACCGCCTAGCTCTCCCACTGCCACAAAACTTAGCCGAACAAGAAATGTCACGAGAACTAACAACACCGACATAGGGTTAAGAACGTTCAAGACGTCTCACGGAAATTTCCGGCAGGGAAGTCCGTCAAGGGCGGTTCAACCCACTTTGGCCGATCTGGAATTCCCTCCACCACCCACTGATTTGCCACCGCCACCCGAAGAATTCGATGGGACATTTGATGAGATCCACTCGACGTCGTTGACCTTGTCGGCGGAAATGAAGAAGAAACGCGTTCCAATTTCGCCTTTAACGTCGAGAAAGTTCAACGAAGAAACGGAAGATAACGGCGACTTGCATCCATCGGTAGAGGAGGCGGGATCGCGGTTCGGCGTCAATTTAAAGAAACGCGAGCCGTCGAGTGATAGTTGCGCGAGTACAAAAGAAACAAAAGAGGACGCGGGAAGTCCCGTACGTACTAGTTTAAGTCTTACAAGTCCAAGCGTCGAAGGTCGAAGTCCCGCGAGTGTCGATTCGGACGTAGTACCGGCGGTCGGATCTCCTCTCGAACCCCTACCTCCTCCCCCTATATTTCCTCAAGACGGTAAGTTGTTTTTTAATCGCATTCACTACACATACATTCAAATAAACACGTGTACATTATCATATAAGAGCATAAGAATTAAATTTATCCTAGCCAACAAAATCAATTAAATCGAATTCAAATAAATTATTTCATACTTTTTTGCTGCAGCACTTTCTTTTATTAATTTTGAGTTACTTAAACTTCCATTATTAGTGTGTTTTAACCAGTTCTATTTCAAATTGAGGAGGGGGGTGTCATTGACGGGTTACTAAATCATACGCGTTTAATATTTGCCGTTGATTGAGAATTGGGTTGATGAGCTTTATCATTCACTATCGTGCGTTATACGTATCCAAAAGTAGGGTGCGATGAATAAGAACAACCACAGACCAACGCAGATTCTGGTACAACATGAGGATCGGTTGGACGCGTATGACCAGTCGCACCATCGGGAATGATAAAGTTTGCTAACCCAACCGCAGGTGTTGAACTAGCGTAACTTAGTATCCGGTCAATGAAATGCTCCTCCTCATTTTGTAACGAAACCGGTCAAAACACACTACTTCTGGCGTTTTCTGTTATAAAGAAAACACTTTCTTCTTGTGTAACTCAATTAAAATTCTTTTTTTTTATGAATACATGAATACGCTCCTTCAATATCTACAAACAAAACGTTTTAATCAATTAAAAACTAATACAAAATTGTTATCTTTTTGCTGCAGCGTTAAGAATTTGAAACAGAATGGCCGTTCTTAATGTGAGTGGATTTGTTTTAAATCTGTAACGTTATTGTTTTTTCAATTTTACAATTATAAATTTATTTGAACGCTTTAATTAATAAGTAAATTGACCAGCCAAGATTCAGAAGTGACTGGGATAAAAAGAATGTGAAGAAAGAGGCAGAACATCTTCGTTACTTTTGTATATTGTTTTTTTTTTTTCGATTTTTGTTTTCAATTTCACTTCCAGAATTCGAAGAGCACGAGGAAATTTGTAGTAAAAACGTAATCGAAAACGTAGATGACGCGAACGTATTGTCATCAAATGCCAAAGAAAAATCGTCGTCGTTGGTGTTCAAAAATAAAAATGTGATGAAAGAGATGGAATTGAAACTTGTCGCCGAGATCAAAGAACGTGCAGACAAGAAGAGCAGAAACTCATCCGAATCTCCAGTAGAACCGTCGTCTACGGCTGTGAGTAGTATTAGTTTAGATCCCGCCTTACAACTTGTGTCCGAACTGTCCGAAACCATGAATTTAGATCTTAACAAAAAAGAGACTTCCCCAAAACAAAACGATAAACCCAACTCCTTCATACCGCAACTTAAGAAAGTCGACCCCTCGTTTATTACTAAAAATAGGGACAAGGAAGAGAATGGCACAACCGGAATTATAGATTTCAAATCACGCTTAAGAAAAATCGAGAAAGCAGACAGAAACGAAGACGAAACAGAGCAGATTAAAAATAATGGTGAAGAAGAACATGAAAAGGAAAATAACAAAAGAGAAAGCACTGCAAGTTCTGATAATGGTACGAATAGACTGGATGAAGGAGACGATAAAAGAAAAAGTACCGGAAGTATAAGTAGTTTAAAAAAATTATGGGAAACTAAAGAAGCAACAGAATCTACAATTCAATTAAGTCCGAAAATGCCGCTTAAAAACGACAAAAACACGGAAGCGTCGACTGAAACCTCCCCCGTAGAAACTTCTGAAGACTCTTTCAAAATTTTAACCACATCCAAAACTGACAAACGTTCTTGGCCACCACCGACAACCAATGACGAGAAACCAGTAATTCCCACAAAACCGCCCTTAAAATCAATAAAACCGATTATGTCCTCTCGTCCGCTTGTGCCAGCAATATACGCAACCCCTATATCATCAAATTCCAAACCTCCAGTTTCCATTAAACCAACTAACAACACTTCGCCCCTTGAAGACAATTCTAAAACAAACAACTCGGACCGAAGCGATAAGGACAATATTCTGGACATATGTCAAGCCCTGGAGACAACGGTAAAAAGCATTAGGTCGAACTCGAACGTTTCCACGTCCAATTGGTTGCAATTGTCCGACAAAATAGGACTTCTTCACGTCTCTTGTTTGGATTATTCGGATAATGTTGTTCCCGCGCATGCGAAATTCCATTTTCGAGAGTTACTGAGCAGGTTAGAGTCGCAAGCGAGACAACTCAGATCAGCGGGATCAAGAAACAGTACCGAAAACATACGGTATCTTAACGACGTTAACAACACAATCAAAGATGTTGTCAATGCGGTGTTGCGATAGAAAGAAAAATAAACAGAAAACAATTACAGGACCACTTAACTAGCGTTTAGATTGTAAGGTTGCGTATTAATCTTTCGAATTATTAATTTTCCTTTTTATTCGCTTCGTGAATCTTTGTTCTTAATTTTGACTACGATATTTATTTCAGCAAGCTTACTGACCGGCTGTATTGGCAATTAAAAAAAATTCCATGTTTTACATATTAAGAAAATTAACTGAGACATGCTGTGTATCTACCACTTGTTTGATTTTCTCTTTGCAATTAATTTCTTGGTTTTTTTTTAGATACTGAGTTAGTTTTGTGCTCAATGTGCATTTTTTCTGAAACATTCGAGATAATTTTCACATTCCAAAAATAATAAAAAATTTCAAATTCAAATTATTTACTGCCATTCCTAAGTTAGAAATGCATTGACATACATGACTTAAGAAGAAATAGGGATCAAGAATACTTAAAATTATTAAAAAATTTCAAATCCCTAAGTGTTACTTTCTAAAAAAAGAGAATGTGTAAACTAGAAGAAAAACATTAGCATGTGACTGGCAAGTCTGGCTGTTGTAAAACATCGGATTTAAGATTTATTGAAGGGCGTGAAAATAAGTAAACAAGCCTTAATACGTATTTTTGATAATAAAACAACTTTTACTTTTAAATTAACTACGATAATATGCATTCAAATGAAGAGATGAGTTTGTACGCGTGTAATAAAAGAAATGACAATAT